GAATGGCCGGATACGGTTGGCAAAGCTGGCAGCGTAGCCCCAAAGACTTGGCGCTATTACTTGGAGTAATTAACTGAATCTTGGAAGCATCTAACGCCTCTCAAGCGCTAGCCGTAGTTCCGCCTATTTCTCCCCTGCTCCCGCCCTACAGTTAAACTGCAATTCCAGTGCAATATGCAGATTCAAGACTAGGAAAAGAAAGAATATGAAATTAACACGAGCCATTATCACTAGAGCAATTTTTGGTCTGACATTGGTTTGATCGTCGCTGCATCTATCTTGAATTACTAACACTGTCAGCCCAGTTTGAAGGCAGGCAGTAGGTGGAGCAATGGCGGGACCTCTAACACCTGAGAGGCAATAGATTCTCCTCAGCCCTAATCACCCGCTCCATGGTAAAGCAAAGAGCTTGATGAACTCCTGCATTCTTTCATACCCAACATCTCTGCTTATTCTCCAGCCAGATCTGGATTTAAGCTTGAATAGACTGTGGAAAAACTTCTAAGTTTGCCAAGTAAAAGACAATAAAATTATAAACTCTGTCTGACGTTGCATTTGATTCGAGCGTCATATATGTAATGAGAAACAGAAAGAAATATCAGTATTATTTGAAGCACATTTCAAAAACGAATGTTCTTCTAAGATGTTTGTGTCCTTTGCGAGACAAGTGCAAACTTATGTAAATGTTTTGTTGTTTACGATCAGTGTAAAGATTTGTTATCAGAAGCGAATGCCAAATAATCAACATGGTAAGATGTTTCTGTAATACAACTTTCTTACCTAATAACCTGAATTGGAGTTGCCGAGGTCTCGCAACTTCAAACTTAGTACTTTGGAAAATACTTCAAGTAACCATCATTACAATAGGAATTAGATGCCATCATTTTTGAAGGATTTCTGATTGAAGAATCATAATAAGATGTAGTGGAGAATTGAAAGTATACTAGCATTTTGAGTTAAACAAACGAAACATTCCTCAAAAATTCAAGGTTTGCCCTTGTTACTAAATATGGATGTATGAGGTAGCGGACAGTAGATTCAATAACTGGCCAAAAGTGCTACTGCGATTTCTCCTTCTCACTCTCAGGCACTTGTGTGATGTTTATGGTTTAAAGGAAAGCTCCAGATAAATAGACACTCCACACTGGACAGTGAGAAAAAAAAAGAAAAAGAAGAAAAAAGAACAATAACGAAGTTGAAAAGAAGAAAGAGAAAAAGGACCCTCTGGGATTAAATTCCCACCGCTATTGTCGTCCGCTTTCGCTTCTTCCTGCATTGCATACACTCAAACAAATCGTAAGATATGTTGGAGCGCTCCATTGCGAAAATATAAGACCATCTAGTGCCAGGAATTTCATAGCACATCACGGAACGAGATCCTCTTTTGCTCATGTATCTTCTTCCAGGGAGTTTCGGTTTCGATGTCTCATCATTTTTTGGAGGCTCTTCGGCGGAAGGAGGGTTAGATGGCGGCACCAGCTGTATTGGGACACTTGACGAGGGAGTGGAAAGGCAGACAAATTGCGGTATTGCATCTGAAGCTACAGTGAAGCGTAAAGGCTGGCGAACTCGGATGGGAACCAGCTGCATCGGAGTTACAGAAAGATTCTTTTGTATATCACATCCGACCAAAACTATAGGCTGCTCCCTCTGAGCGAGAAAGGGCATAGGGACGGGAGGGATACGAACCCTAGAGGTACATGGAGCCAAGGGAACTAGTTTTCGCGAATTTGTGGAACTAGGCATGCCGGTAATTCGTTTTCTAGTAGGAAGAGAAGAATAATTTCTCGGGGAAATAACCTTTTCTTCTGATACGATATCAGTGGATGGTTTAAAATCCATGAGATCTGTGGCAAATAGTACAGTGCCCGAGTCTGGAGGTCCACATTCT